TTGTTAACTAGTAGTAACAAGCAATCCTTTCCTTGATCTTGACCTTCAAGAGATTAGTGCCTCAAGCGTTGCACATCTAATGGATTCACAAACATCACAAACAGCACAAGCAAAGAATTAGGAGAATGAGTGCCATAAATCGGCTAGGGTTTCTTCTAAGGAAACAGTTGCCGAAATCTGAAGGCTGGGTGTTCCTTTTATAGTTGAGGCTGCTAGGGTTTTCAACTGGAAACCCTAATTCCCTTGATTAGGCCCTAAGCAATCCACAGATCCACATGATAAGCCTTGGACGAAAACTCTACGGGCTTCTCATAGATTTTCGTCCACCCTATATCAAGAGGATCCATTAGCCCAAACTACAGCTATTACTGATTTATATAATCAGTCCCCATTCTTTCAATCAGTCTCTTTTGATCACTAAATTAATTCCAGATTAATTTCTGATCAATACTAATTAAATAATATGATTTCTCAATTAATATATTAATAAATCATTAATCAACCTCTTTCTCCAAAACTCATCCTATCCAGTTGTTATGGCGAAGGCAACCCAAAAGGACCATGCTACTATCGGGTCAAGTACATACCAGTTATAGTTATGGGCTTAGACACCTAATACAACAATACATTGACCGTTGACTTTTGACCAAGTTTGAGTATCAAAGTTGAGAGTTTTGAACTGCTAATTAAGGTTTTACTTGGTTTTTGGTGATTAGCGGATTCGCGGGAGCACGCAGTGCAGAAAGAGAAAAGCGTCTCAGTTTTTTGGGTTTCTTGATTTCAGGTGAGGTTTGCCTCATTGTACCCGTGGGTCGAAGGCACCAATGTCGCCCCACTAATTTTGGTTATCTTTTAGTAGAAGGATGCCATAGGGACTGTATATAGTCATGTGGGATAGATTGACGACTCTTGATCTAGGCTTTCTTGCATGTTCCGCGTTTGGTTGTGTCTCTAGAGTTGGATCACTTGGCCGGGTGTCTATCTCACCTCTAAGTATATATGGTCATGTATTACTTGGATTGTTGGTACTTAGTATCTTGTTATGTTGTAGTGATATGTTAGATCTGTATCCTGGTATATAAGATGTTACTATGTTGTAGTGATATCTTAGAATTGTGTCTTGGTATATAGGATGTTGCTATGTTGTAGTGATCTATTAGATATGTATCCTGGTATATAGGATGTTGCTATGTTGTAGTGATTTGTTAGATATGTATCCTGGTATATAGGATGTTGCTATGTTGTAGTGATCTGTTAGATTTGTGTGTCTATCTGTACTTACTGGTTATCATCTAGTGGAGTGCCCTAGGAACTATATGTAGTCATGTAGGATAACCTGAGAACTCTTGATCTGGTATTTCTTGCATGTTCCTCATTTGGTTGTGGATCTGGAGTAGGATCATCTGTTCGGGTGTCTATCTCACCTTTAGGTACTTATGGTTACGCATTTCATGGAGGTCAGTTGGTAGTGAGACTGTATGATATGAGAGGACTAGTAGGAGGTAGTGAGTTGTATGATTGTTGTTTGCATGTATTATGTGCCTACTTGATCCTGATTGTTTATATGTCGACATATGGTAGTAGTGGGTTGAGGCGGTCCTGCTTTGTGATGTAAGCCAAGATACCCGGTGCGGGCCGGATAAAAGCCGTAGGCACGGAGTCTCGGGAAGAGTGGTTGGTTTGAGGCGGTAGGCCAAAAAACCCTAGGTATTCCAGCCTGATGGCTGACTGGACCCGTTGCATGTTGGCATTCAAGTCCAATGACTGATTGGGCTTGGGCATTCCAACCGGGAGGTTGTGGACCGTTATGCATGCCTGTATGCTTATCGTATCGGGTATTTTGGGAGCTTTATGCTTACCAGTTGTTTATTTTTTCAGGTATCAACGGCGGCTATGGGAAGGCAAAGTCGAGACTGTACACACTCATTAGCAGCATTGAGGATTTCGCGTTCATTATAACACTCTGATTTTTAATAATTGTAATTGGGAACATATGGTTTTCTTAAAATGGGTTTATAATTGGGAAGTTTTACTTTAAATAAAATGAAAAAAAATTGTTGTGAAAACGTGACGTTACATCAGGACATGGTGGCATGACGCTAAAAGGGCCAGGAGATAAGGTTGTAACGGAGATACATGTAATATCCGTTGATGGCCATCAATAAATCAGGCATCGCCCCGCAGTCGACATCTAAGTAAGTAATCAATGCGAATATGGTTGATAGATGAAGTTGAAGACCAAAATCAAGTGTGCATCGAATATAGCGAAGAATAGTTTGACTACGAGAAAGTGTGTCTCTCTAGTGTAACATCCCAAATTCCACAATATATTTTCATTTAATATTAAAAGCATTTGTTTCAATTACATGCTCAAGGATCTAAATAAAATCATTTGTTTCAAAACACTAATCATAGTATAGATTAAGAGTTATTAAGTGCGGAAATATCCAAAGGATGCTATAAAATCAAGTTGCACCCTTCCTTCGTTACCAGAAAATTTGAAACAATTTAAACTTAAAACCATAAGCACAAAGCATAGTGAGTTCCCCCAAGATACCACATACATCCATACATAAAGCAACAAGTTTGTTTCAACCCAACGACCTATTTCATCCAACGGGTATGTTTCAACCCAACAACCTATTTCAGTAAATGGGTTTGTTTCAACCCAATGACATATTTCAGCCAACGGGTTTGTTTCAACCCAACATGTCTATTTTAACTGAACATGTATATATCATACAAGCATACCAGCAAGAGTCACAAAGACAACAAGTATATAACAACACCTAGTGTCCATACAATATAGTAAGAATACTCACCTCACAATCAAACAGACAAACACCACAGCTCGCAGGAAACATAAAGGCTTGTACTACAAACCACATAATTATTAATAAAATGTCAAATCTCAATCTATATCCTTAACCCAAAAGTTTGACCCAACGTAAAACTTAGTAAAAAAGTTAACATGTCAACATTTTGGTCAAAAAGCGAGCCACACTTTCTTCTGGGCAGGTAGTCTCAAGGATTATGCCATGCTCGGCATAGAAATCATTCATGTGGTTTGAAACAAATTATACCCCGTTGTCGCAACAGATTCTTTTTATCAATTTTCCAAATTGTGTCTTGACCGGTTTGTGGAAATACACTAGGCGATCACCCGCCTCAAATTTATGTTTTAAGAGAAAAACTCAGACAGATCGACTATAGTCATCCATGATTGTCAAAAAGTAGTTTGCCTGAGAGAGCGAGGGAGTTTTGTACCTTCCCTATATGTTACAATGTATTCCCCATATGTTACAATGTAACAATTCAAAACACTTTTTACTTTTAATAGAACTCACTGGAAAAGGTAATCGAGTGTGTTTGGCTTTTGCACACGAATCAGAATCCACAATCTTAAAGGAAGCATTTTTAATATAAGCAAGACCGGACAGTTTATCACTAGAAGTATGGCCTAGCCTCTTGTGTCATACCTCCATTGAAGCCATCGTAGCCTTTCTTTTATTTTCCACCATCTCAATCCAATACATACCATGTTTTCATTTACCCCTTCCAATCAATTCCCTCGAATGCAAGTCCTGCCTGAAATAGAAATCTGGAAAGAAAGTCATTGAACATTAATGATCCTTTGACAAGCAGCTTACCGATAGTAGATTGCACCTAAACTTTGGAACATGCAGAACTCCTTTCATAGTGGTTCCATTGGGTAAATGACAATTTCCTTTACCTTCAACAGGTATGGAATCACCATTTGGTATCATGACAGGAGGTTCAAGAGTGGATATCATTTTGTTTTCAAGCCATTCGGCTCGATGTGTTATGTGTTCGGTACAACCGGAATCCACTATCCAACCATTATCCTCTCTATCTTTACACGCCATGTTGGCTTCTAGAAGTAGCTCATCCTTTGACGAGTTTTCCTTTGCAATATAGCATAAGAGAGCACAATATTGTTCATAATTCAAACCTGGTATAGGACTCGAGTTTGGGTCAAAATCATAGTATTCGGAATCGTGAACGTAGCATGGAGAATTGGTGTTAACATGGTTTTCTTCAATCTTCTTTCCGGATGATTGTTCATCCCCCATGGCTGCCGGCTAGGAACAGATTACGTGATGGAGAGGAAAATTAGGAGGAGATAATTATGCAATCCAATATACTCATCATTAAACGTGTATAATGCACGTACATTTGGGCCTATACTGGGCTAATTATACAGCATAATAACTGAGCAATACTAAAAGATATACAGATATAATGCAATGTACAACACTAATAAAAACTTTCTGAAGCATTGATCTGTTTGATATGCAAGAAAAACATTGCTCGACTGCTTTGGGAGTTGGGACCCTCGAACCTCAGTTGCATCTCATGTCCATAAACTAGACTCCTACACAATATATGCGCAAACAAGCCATGACACATCAACTAAAATCAAAGCAACAAATGTTGCCACAAATTTCTACCAACAAAAGGAACCAATTGTTAATGGCATTAATCAGAGTGGAATTCTTTGATTGCACATTTAAAAACAAGGTTTATTCTCATAAATGTTGGAGTGAATGAAAAGTATAAAAACGATATTCTTATGTTCAAAATTGTAACTGGGTGATCCTTGGCATAAACACAAACACCTGGTGTGTCGAATGCAATCGATACAAAACAATACAAATAGATGAAAACGAAGACTATCAAGCCTAATTTCATTTGATGCAATCAAAAAGAAACATAGATGATTAACAAGAACATTCCATTACCAAAACAAGATAGTTTCATTTCAATTTCAGAACTTTTCAGCTAGAAAGTAATTACATCAGGGATCCCAAAAACCAACGAAAACCAGATTACAACAGATACCAACAGATCATGACAATCTAACCGCTAGTGAACTTTGTCACAGCCTTGGTACCTTCAGACACAGCATGCTTAGCCAACTCCCCGGGAAGTACAAGTCTGACTGCAGTTTGAATCTCCCTCGAAGACAGACTGTGCTTCTAGTTGTACCTTGCAAGCTTAGATGCCTCCTGAGCGAGCTTCTCGAAAATGTCGTTGATGAAGGAGTTCATGATGCCCATTGCCTTACTAGAGATACCAATATCAGGGTGAACCTGCTTCAAAACCTTAAAGATGTAGATCTTGTAGGTCTCGACTGATTTCTTGTGTCTCTTCTTCTTCTTATCCGCTCCGGCAGCCGATGCATCCTTTGGGAGTTTCTTCTCTGCCTTGGGCTTCTTCTCCGCTGGTGCCTTCTCAGCCGGAGCCTTTTCCGCTACTGGTTTCTTTCCGGCAGCTGCCTTGGGTGCCATTGATACAATTAGAGGGAAAATGAAAATAGAGAAGATGTGTTAGATGAATTCGAAGGGTAGGATGTGTTTGTTGGCGTATTGGGATGTGTTTATATAGGCTGTATAAAACAGATGTGATTGGTTAGATTAGACTGACGCGGATTGTGATTATGGCCGTTGGTTTTTAGAGAATAAATGAAAACAATGATATAATAATTAAAACCTAAATGAAATTTTTTTAAAGTATGTTACTATTTTCAAAATGGGCAATGATAAAAAAAAAGTCCTTAAAATGGTATAATTTTTTTTTCAACCGGCAAATGTAAATATATAAATTTATTCTTAAACTAACACCTAATTTCAACTATGTCCACAACGGCACTTGAACCCTCGACCTTAAAGATGAAAAAATTCTTAAAATTATGTTGTTATTTTAAAGAGCACGTTATTATCAAATTATTTGAAAAAAAAATCAAAATTGATTGCAAATGTTAAAGGTATGGCCCAGTTATTTATTTACATAAAATGTCTTTAATAAACGTCCTTAATACATTGTAGTTTAAAAAATTTACATAAAAGGCCTGCAATTACATTTTTCAAAAAATGAACCTAAGATATAACTTATAGATACACACACATGAAAATAGGGAAAAAAAAAAGAAAACAATTATAGCATATGACAAAAAATGGAAGTCTATTGCTATTTTTTGCATTTCTTCTATGATGGGGTAAATGAAAAAATAGCAATTTACTTTCATGTAAAGTTGCCTTTTTCTTAAACTTTTTTTTTACTTTGCATCAAACTTGAAATATGTTGTTACTAATTAACATTTGAGAATGATGTTATAACAGACAGAAATAAAAATTAAAGTATATTGTTATGATGGTGTTTGTGTTTACATATTTAAAAAAATACATTAAAAGTCTTTAGTAAATGAAATTACAAAAACGGATGAAATGTATGAAAAAAGAGGATAAATGTATAACTAAAAATAAAAAAACAAAATCAATGATAGTAGAGACAAAAAAAAATGAAAGTATACCGATATCTTTTGTATTTTTTCATGATTGAGGTCAATGGAAAAAAATGAAATTTACTTTCAACTTTTGTCTATTATAGCACGATACTTTCATTATATATGACTATTTTATCAATTTTAACAACATTTTTGGTATATTTACTTAACAATTTCGAAACAAAGTTGTTTGACTATAGGGTTAACATTGGAAAATTAATAATAATTTCATTATTTTTAGGTGTTGAATGAGAAAACCTAATACATACAGTATGAAAACCTAATGAAGGGGTACTTATATACAATGGAGGTACTCCGAAAAATAACCCGATACATACCCTTTGCTAGTTGCTAATCTATAATCTATATGGCATCAAAACACAAAATACAGTTTACAATTTTAATGAAAAAAAAGTACAAAGTTTTAATGAAAAAAAAATAAAGTGCAATGTAAGTCACACAAAAACAAATGAAAGTACAATCTTAAAGTATGTTCCTATTTTACAGATTTTCCTACTTCAATAATCTGTCAAAATAGTAACCTACTTTGAGATTATCTCCAAAAGTTAATAAATTTATACTTTCTTGTCAAAAAAAGTATGCTAGAAAACATAATGAATTGGAAAAATAAAACAAAGTTTTAAAAGTACAAAGTAGGTTGCTATTTTAAAAGTACAAACCAAGATTGATAGTTAATTCATTAAGAATATGTAGTTGAAAGAAACATTGATAATAAAAAAACTAAATCATGGAAAAACTCCTCAGACAGTAAAAATGATTTGATTTACACACACAGAAAAAGTACAATGCCATAATAATATGTGTAATAATTGGTAAAACGGGTCAGGAATTGTCGGTCAATCACCGCGAACGTTACTGTGACCTATTGTACGATAAAATTGTAGTTTAATAAGCAATTGAAGTTGTGTTACACTTAATTGCTCGTGAACTGATCCGTTTTGAACTCGGACTTGTATTTAACATTCAATTTCATTCGAATAATATTTGTATCCGAAAGGGAACCAGTTTCGTGAAAAGCTATCGAATAGCAACTAATTGAACACGAAACTCTAAATTGTTGTTTTAACATGATCTCGGGTATAGGAAATTTCATTTTCATGTACATTTTGGAATCATCATGATCGACACAATCAACAAATATGTACACAATATTATTAAGAAATCAAATTGATTTAGTAATGAATTAAGATGACGGAAAAATAAATAACATTGTTATAAAATGGTTACATGTACATAGTTATACATTAAACTTACAATCTTATGTATATATAATTAAAATATAATGTGAAGATGTATCATGTACAATTAAAAATACCCAAGTATTTATAAGTTATGCATTTTTATAAATACCACAAAAATACAAACACATGTATCTTACATATTATATTTATGTATAACCACCTAACTATATATATATATATATATATATATATATATATATATATCTTACTACGTTATAATGTATATATAATAGTGGGACCTATAAATTTGAAGACCAAAGTCTTAAAAACAAGGAGAAGCATTTTCCACCATTAGATATTATTTGGATGGTATGGATTACTTTAGTGGTGATCCATGTGAATGTGTTTGGACCGATCAGAACGAATTCTATTAACTCAAACCTGAAGAATTAATCTTATATATACTTATGCATACTATCATTATTCTTAAACCCTAATTAGAATTTGACACACTCTCTCTCCCCTATCAACTCTCTTCACTCTCAATTGAAATCTTCCCCCCTAAACCCTAATTTATAACCGACATCTCCAACCTTCACCTCCGCCCATACGACTTCTGTACCGCCCCAACAACCACCTTACCGACACTACCTTACACTACAACGGCCTCACATTCATCCATCGTCTGCAAGATTCCTCTCTTTCTCTCTTCATTTTAAACCTCTATCTCAACTCTAACTCTGAAAATATGGTAAGAGGTGATGCTCAGTCCCTACCCTCCTCAATCCATCAGCCCCGTTAGTGTTCGTCACCATTATCTGAGGTTCTTTATGTTACAAGTTTGAAGTTCGAATCTAAGTATACTTGTTTTTTTGCATTGTGTTGATGTTGTCATGTGATATATTTTTTGTATTTCCAATGTAAATGGTTATGGTGCAAATCTAAAGTTCATATCTATTGTTGTTGAATGTTGTGACGGATCAAGAAAACCTATTATTGTTTGTTTGAATATGAAATTAAGCTTTTGATTTTAGTATGCTTCGCCTCTTTGAAAGTACTCAGACAAATTTCTCTATGATATTTGTTCATAGTATGATATATTTTTTTTATTTCTTTTTATAATGTATATACTTGTGTGATTTATATTATGATTATTTAGTATGCTAATATTGTGTGATTTCATATCTTATAATGTAAGTTCGTGTGTGATTTCAACTTAAGATAAATAAACAGAAGATGATAGATGATTGTTAGCTTATGTAAAATCTGATCTTTATGTTTTATTCGAATTTTTATTTTATTAATAAAAAGTAAAGAAAAATAGATGAGAACTGAAAGGTCAAATTAACACTTACCATGCGTGCTACTGCGTCTTCTGAAGTTGTGAGTACCGGAAAAAGTAAAGTGAACCTATTTTCAGAGCAAGAGTAATCCTTTTTCAAGCCAGTAATAATACTTTGGTTTTTGTGCAATATAGGGATTACATAAGTGGCATCGGTTCATTAACAAATAGTTTAATAGGTTTTGTTGTAACATATTTATTCTTCATTTGTATGTTTTATTTTATACAAGAAAAAGTAAATAGGTCGTTTTGTAGGTGTGGGTAAAAAAGTGAACCATAACCAAAACTCAAATACAAAGATTCTTTAATTAATCGAACAGGAAAAAATAAATACAAAAATCCGTTCAATTAACTTCAAAATCATTACGGTTCACTGAACCGCTCCAAGGTTCTTTTTTCCGATTCTGAGGGTGTGTTTGGCAAAAGTAGTTGTTAGCGGGTAGCGGGTAGTTGGTAGCGGATAGCAGGTAGCGTGTAGCGGGTAGCTGGTAGTGGGAAGTTGTAGCTTTTATTTGTTATACGAGTGTTTGGCAAAAGTAGCTGGAAACTTTTGAAATATATAAAATTACATAAAAGGACAATTGATTAAAAATAAATATATATATATATATATATTTTTAAGGGTAATTATGGAAATTGATTTCAAAAGCTCAGTAGCGTTTTGTTAAAAGCTACATGAAGTAGCTTTTAGATATGGAGCGTTTTGTTTAAACTAAAAGTTAAACGCTCGTACTGTCAAACGAAACTTTTTGTTTATATTAGAGCGTTTTGTCAAAAGCTAAAAGCTCCCAAACGCTTTTAAAAGCTCCGTGCCAAACACGCCCTGAATATTTTAAAACCATGTTATCATATTTTAGGTTTTGTTAATTTAATTTTTATGCCGTCAAAATTATGATATCACGCTTTTCATTTAGTTTGCATCAAAGTTTTTTCATCCGTCTGTTTTAATATATTTTTAGTAAGGTAATCAAAATGGGACATATATTTTATATATAACTAGGTTACAACCCATGAAACCACGGGTAAAAAAAATATTATATTCAATTATTAATAATTAAAAATGATAATGAAAAAACAAAGATTTATAAAATTTTATTCTTACTTGTATATAAACATACCGATATAAATGCATAAATTTTTTAAATTGAAGATGATACCCACAATTAAAGATGTAGCAGCAAAAAACAAAATAAATCTAAACAATGAAGCAATTAACATTTGAATTAGAAAATATAAATAGACATTATAAAACAACTTGTTGGGTTTTATAATTTGTTAAACATAAAATATACATTAAAATTATAGATATATTCAACAAACATTATCTATTATAAATATATATTGATATTCAATACATTTAGATATTATCGATCATATATTAACCATAATCAATTTAATAAACAATAACATTTAAAGTTTAATAAAAGAATGAAAAAGGGATGTATATTATATGTATTAACC